ATATAAACTATTTACCAAGCTGGAAAGATACTGCTGTGTAGAAATTTCAGCCATAGTTCATTCGCACTTTTATCCGATGAAACTGTGTCAGATGGCAATGGGTGACTACAACTCCATCGACCCAACTGGGGATCGAACTCAGAGAACTTAGAGGTAGAACGCAAGCATACTAAGCACTTGACCACCAGGCAGCTGACTAAACCGTTTCTCATTCTGCTCTATATACGACGAATTTTCCTTACAAAATTGAATCAACTCCTCCGCTACTCTCATGTAACATGTAGTCGGGCTAGAATGTTTCCGACCGACCCATTAACCTGGAGGCCAGTGCTGAGATGAGTAAGGCGCGATATCCGCAACAAGCTCGCAAAGGTGGGTTTTGCCGTATCCTGTAAATGCAAAATGATCTGATCGGTTGTCTGGTGACCGAGTTGGTGGTACACTTGTGTTCTTCTTGTGAAATCCCGGTTTCGATCCCCAGCCGGGTCGATGGATTCGCACTGTGGATGAGACCCAGTTTGGTTGAAACAGCTGTACAGAGCTCCCTAGCTTTCCAGTTCTCATTTCACTTGTTCTATACATTACGAATTCCGCTATAAATTTTAATCATTGTTGTTGTGAGGATCACCTACGAATAAACACGAAACTCGACTATTCAAATACGTTAAATCGGGGACACGGATAACAGTCTGCCATATTGATTTTCCAGTAGCGCGGGCTAGAACTCACATCAACTGAACTTCTTACCGAAACTAGATAACTTTGAACGATGCATAGCAGTTCAATCTCAACCAATTTCATAGAATTGTACTACTGGCATGTCAGCTGGCTGGAAAACTCACATAACGGATTGGTCGGCCTATAACCCGGTTTGGAACCTGATTGAAAATGTCCAGGGTTAATCGACAAGGCTGATTTACGCGAATGGAAAAGTATTCCATTCTGTTAATTAATTAAAGGCTATGTGGCTACTTTCACTATCTCCGTTTATTGGGTTAGTAGTATTCTGCAGCCCACCCACCCTAAAATAGAAACGTTTTATAAATTAAACTATTCAGCAGAAATTTCAAAGAAATTCATTTGTTTTTTTAAATACGGTAGCGAGCTGTCGCTTCAGCATACCAGAATTAATTAATCTGGGTAGTTTGATGATCAAGGGATTGTCCAGAAAACAGGCTGAGGTCATTAGGTTTTTGCGCACATTTGTGGCAAAATGGGTGCTAAACTATGAACTCCCGCTCTCTTACCTCTAATGCAATCTCACTTTCGGACAGCCTGATGGCGTGCGCTCTTGTGCCAAGGGTGCTTATTTGTGCCGACATAATCCGTCTAGGTTTATCGCACTCAAGTGTGCCTTGTGCGTACCCGTCGTCACCAACCATGCGGAATACACGAGGAGACTTGGATGGTCCAGCCGAGGCACTCTGACGACGCAAAAAACCTCGTACTTCTCTAAACTGCCTTCTTGTCTCGTACACATCGGTCGGTGAGTAACGTTCCGGTCGACGTGAGGTTGGGCGCCATGGCAGTTTGGGGCCTACAATCATCGGATTAACTTGGGTTGCTCGAGTCTTCTCCAACGTTCGGCGCGTGCTCATTGAACTGCGTAAGGTTTCCCCGGCAAACTCCAATGCATCTCCAACACGGGGTAGTAGTGTATCGGCACTGTGATTACGTCTGGGATAAAATGAAATATAAAGTTATTAGAGCAGAGTTGGGAAGTTGAATTTCTAATGATGTTCACTCCGTTTCCATGGTCGTCGGTCCTGATCGTGAGAATTATTTAAAGACCTTCACACCAGCATCGTTTTTCACCACGTGCCAAGGTGAGATCGCAGCTTTCGCACTTCACTCTATATTCAATATACGCCGTATTACAACGTATATTACGCACAGGAACTTTTAAAGAGAAAAGTTACAACAGTTGATGATACCGAGCAAGGTTATATCAGCTACCATGCTTCTCGACTTTCTGATTCACGTTTACCCTGCAAACGTAATTGATAGGCAGCGGCGCACTGGTGGGGTTTAATGTGGTTCACCACTCCATATCTTGGGCTTGCGGGGGGGGGTCGATTATCATGGTTACTTCTTTAGCTTTGTAATAAAAATATATTGCGAATACCTTTCCTTAAGAGCTAAGAATCCACCCTTTTGCAAGCACCGTGCTATTCTGTTAGCTTATTTTACTTTCATTTATGTAACCCTACTTTGTACCGAGTATCATGTTAATATCCACAGGAAACGACTCATTCTAATGGAACCAAAAGAATGATTTTGTTCCATTGCTTTCCATCAGTGACACTTACTTTTGTTCCAGCCTGACCTGGTCAACACGATCCGGAGATCGATTATCAAAATAGTTCATGCGACGGATCTCCTCTGGATGTTTGTTTGTTGCTCGCCAAGGTCTCATCTTTTGAACGGACTGAACCTGATTTTCGGCTCTGGCCGATCGAAGTTGTTGCTGTTGTTGTCGCAGCTCAATCTTTTTTCGTTCACGCGCTTTTTCCGCCTGGATGCGAGCTTCTTTGTGTGCTTCTTCCAACTGTTTCATTAATTCCATTGCAGTTGCCTTCAGTTGGCAATGAAACGCGAAGCATACAAGAATTATAGGAAAGAGAACGAAATGATAGGTTGTATTCACGCTGTAAACCTATGTACTGCTAATTCACATGCGTTGTTCGTTGTTCCTTCGCTAAGTATTAATACACTAGCTAAAAAAGGACTATGCACCAAAAGAACTAGAATAACGTTAGTGTAATATATTATATACGTAAGAGATTTCGGAGTGACCATATGAATAAATTTTATTACCCATCAAATACTAAATGATGTGTAAGTGACAGAAAATCGAATTTTGTATGAATGCAAGTAAGAAATACTAGTACCATTCACTAGAACGAGAGTCTCGAGAGTGGATGCTGAGTGAAGACATATTTCAGGTCAAGACGACAAGCGGAAGACCCATAACCCATGTCCCTGACGTCGCTCCTCGAAACCGTCCAGAAAAGCTCTCTTCCAATCGGCGGTTATCTGATTAAACAAATTCACATAGGATTTGGAGTGCCTGAGTTGATAAAACTATGTTGTAATTTGTAATGGGAATCGGATTTCACTCTGTGCCAATCTTGTCAGTTAACGAGGGGCTTGCGAGGCCGTCACTACAGAGACATCCGTAGAGTCAATTCTTTGTCACGCAAGCTGGTGGTAATGATGATGATGTTGTTGACGATAGTGGTGGTGGTCAAGATGATTTCAATGAATTAAGATAGTCAGTCCGTGAATTGACGGAATAAAAATAAAGTCAAGTGGAATACACGCATCTCATATTTTTATATTTCCTGTGATAATTATCTCTGGGAGTCACACAGAGAATGATAAATATGGCTAGAAATATCACAGATCCCGCTGTTCATATGAATCGATGGTTTTTTGACGAACTAAATAAATGTTTATTTTCACTATTTGACACGTGAAACATCGATGTTAGTCATTCTAATCACTAATATCGGACCCAATAAAAGTTGGCTGCCGTTTACGGAAGTCCGCCCAAACGGACCAATTGAGACTCACTTTCATTGGTCCTGCTACACGCAAGAAACGCATATTTTGAATATAGTGCTTTTTCCAGATCCCTTGTTCGGAACTTGTGCGTAGATCGGTCAGTGTCCATCCACGACGTAAA